GTAGTAGTAGTAGTAGTAGTAGTAGTAGTAGTAGCAGTAGTAGTAGTAGTAGTAGTAGTACTACTACTAGTAGTACTAGTAGTAGTAGTAGTAGTAGTAGTAGTAGTAGTAGTAGTACTAGTTAGTAGTGGTAGTAGTGGTAGCAGCAGTAGCAATGTCGTAGTACTGGAATGATTGCGGGCTGCAGGTCCCGAAGATCTTCACTTGTCAGACAGTTAGTATAGCTTCGAAGAGGTAACGGCCAATGGGCCACTTGGAGCACACCCAAGTATGTTTCAGGTTCAGGTATATTACGGAAACCCTTTCCTGAGTTGAGCTCACCGCTAACTTCGTCCAGACGACTGGGATAACGAGGGTATGTGTCAGGGGTATGCTTCGGGATATGTTTCGCGATCTGTTTCAAGGTATGTTTCGGGGTCTGTTTCGCTCAAGCCCAACACCCCTTCAAGATCAGTAATGAACCCCCCCTAAACTGACAGAGCCATTAGTAGTAACGGTTTCTAAACTCCCGAAACCCTCAACCCTAAATCCTAAACCTCTTAAGAGCCCTAAACCCTAAACCTTATAATCTCTAAACCCCTAAACCCTAATCCTCTAAACCCTAAACTAAGAAAAACAAATAAATCCTCGAGCTCAGGCTCAGGGTCTGGGGATTAAACCCTAAACCCCTAAACCCCCTCAACCCTGATTTCTAAACTCTTAACCCTACCAGGGTTGAGGGTTTAGGGTTTAGGGTTAAGGGTCTAGAGTCTCGGGTTTAGGGCTTGACCAAACATTTAGGGCACCTAAGTCTGTAAGCGCTAAAACCAACCTTTTGGGTTCCACGGCTGAGAGGACGGTTTAGGGTTTAGGGTACCAGCAGTTCTGGGTTCCACGGATTACTGTAGGGCATCCCGACGCATTCCTTTGAGGAAACCTCGAACTAGCGCCGACGATCCGTAGGACTCATGTGGGGGGCTTTAGGCTTCAGGGCTGAGGGTGTAGGGGTCCAGGGTCTAGGATTTTGGGGTTTCGGGTCTCGGATTTTCGGGTTTTGGGGTTGAAGGGTTTAGGCGATTGGGGCAAAGTTAAGGTTCAGGGGACTTACAATCAATTGCAGCCTTAACTCTAGGGTGTTGACCGGATCAGATTCCTTGAAGGTGGACCTTTGCCGCAATCTGAAGAAGTGCACTATAGGGTGTAGGAGGCTAGGGTTAGGGATTGTGCTCAAAAGCCTCGTCTTGGGAGTCAGGTTATCATGATATCTGTCTCTGGAAGTTCTTGTACTTGCGTCTAGAGATGGTTTTCGCGAATTAAACCACCACTGACTTCCCAAGTAAGCCAAGACAGATCAGGCTTCAACGTTCAGAAGACAGGAATACCAAAACATGGGAACCCTGCAAAAAAGCAAAAGACGGGTCTGGAAAACTTGTAAGGTCCAGGGTTTAGGGTTCAGGGTTTAGGGGGTTTAGGGTTCGGGGTTTAGGGTTTAGGGTTCAGGGTTTCGGGTTTCGGGTTCAGGGTTTAAGATAGTTAAAATCCTGGAAACCCTTATTATGCGCAGCTGGAGCTACAAGACCTATAACTTGTGCTACGACTGATGACATGAAGCCTGCATTACCTTAAGGACCCTAAACTATGGGTAGCGCAGGATTTATATCCTAAAAACCCCTAAACCCTAAACCCTCAAACCCCCAAACCTAAATCCCCAAACCCCTAAACCCCCAAACCCTAAGCCTACTATGAGCCGAGCCTGCAACTCCTCCATCACAGCCGCCGGCAGCTGCAGACCTGCCGAGGACACTCTTCAGGAGCGAAGGGTGGTAGGGTTTAGGGTTAGGGTTTAGGGTTTAGGGTTTAGGGTTTAGGGTTTAGGGTTTAGGGTTTAGGGTTTAGGGTTGAGGGTTTAGGGTGTGTCTCTTGGTCTTTGGGGGTGAAGGCTTTGTATACATTGGGTTTAGGGTTTAGGGTTTAGGGTTCAGTACAGCAGCTTTGTTGATCGGACGTCGGAACAAGGCTGGTTGTAAGAGGCTGATAAACAAAGGGTTTTAGCTTGATTAAGGACTTGAAGTTTGAAATTTAGAGCTGCGGATTGCGGCTGCTCATGCCCTTCAGGGTGATAGTTCGAGTGGTCTTCATGGGAAAAATGACTCACTGGGTGGGTTCTAGGATTCTACGTGAAGGATCAGATGGTATGTACCTCTTGGTGCAGAGAGAAGTACCCAAATTGGTCTTAGCTTCTCATACTTCGGAGTAAAACATGCAAACTAAGTCCCCTGATTGTTGAAGGTGGGGGCTTGCAATATACCCCCAACCTTGAAACCTAAACACAACAGGTCTAGCTTCGGGTTTACTCTAAACCCTAAACCCTCACTGAACCCCGAATCTGGACCTTGAAACCCCACGTTGGGTTTGGTTGACAGTTCAGGATCTGGGTTGAGGGCCCCAGACTCAATGGCGATATAGGGGCCTTGCTAGCTGAAAGAAGGTATTGGTGTACATCAGATCACACCCTAAACCCTAAACCCAATTAGTAAATTACAAAAGGCACCCCTTAGGGTTGCTTGCCTTGCTTTTGGGTAGCACAAGGTGATCCCGTCGAGGGCTCTTATTCGCAGTGCCATCAAGCGAACCCCTGAACCCTAAACCCTGAA